TCGGGGTTTTTTCCCTCCCCATCCGTGCGAGAAATGGTGTCCCCAGAGGTTGCCGCTGTCTCGTATTTCTTGCGCGGCGGTGCAGGGACCATGCGCGCCTTGTGCGATGGTGCAGGGGCTGTGCGCAACTTGCACGGCAGGATGAGGACTACACAAACCTTGCACGGTTGCACAAGGACCATGCACGCCTTGTGCAATGGTGCAGGGGCTATGCGCGCCTTGCACAGCAGATTGGGGACTGTGGACACCCTGCACGGTGGCACAAGGACCGTGCACACCTTGTGCAATGGTGCAGGGGCTATGCACGCCTTGCACGGCAGGATGGGGACCATGCACACCTTGCATGATGGCGCAGGGACCACACACACCTTGCACGGCAGGATGGGGACCACACAAACCTTGCACGATGGCACAGGGACTGTGCACGCCTTGCGTAATGGCACGGAGACCAGACTTGTGCTGCAGGGCAGGCACCCACAGCACTCCAGTGCCCAACAAGGAAAAGCACTTTTAATACTATGAAACCTGGCTTAAAAAGTTTAATGTTTTTATTATTATTATTATTTAAAGGAGAGAGGGGAAAAAAAAAGCCTGTTGAAGTTTTTGGCACATTTGTTGTTACGTGGGAGGGGACGTGCTGGCTCGGTGCCACCATGGAGCTGCGTGAAGGCTCTTCCACCGCATCTGAATCTTTATTCTCCCCACTTTCTCCAGTTTCTACTTCATGGGTGTTTTTTACATGCATTAGTGTTGCATTTTCATCGGGTTTGGGCTGGGTGGCCGGGTTCCCTGCATGGCTCACCCCATGGTGTGACACTGAGCGGGGGGTTACACAAACGATGCAGTTTTTTGGGAGACTGCAGGAGACGGGCTCGCTCTGCAACCTGCAGGTTGCCAAACCAGCCAATATCGCACGTGTGCTGGAAACTTGGTGTGACCCTTTTCTCTGGTCCCCGTGATACCGCCTGAATTTCCCAAAACCTCTTAAAGTAGGTACCGGGACCTGGTTAAGTTTCTCGGGAACCCTCCATGGAAGGTCCCTTTGTGTCCTGGCAGTTTCTAGGGTCAGGTCCCAGCTGTCTTGGCCACATTTAGGCTTATTTTCCTCTTCTGGCTGAGCCTTAATAAAACAATTTCTCAGTAACCTCTTGAGTGTAGATGGGTGAATTATTTCTTCGCAGCTGGTAGCCCAAGTCTAACGAAGAGCAGAAGCAGAATGACTTCTTGGTGTTTCTACTGGGTTAAATTCTTATGCATCTAGAAAACTTAATTTTCAGGCTGATGAACGTACCTCTTTTCCCTGTATGGATACTTTCTGTCGACCTGGAAGATTCCCAGCGTCAGGAATGTCCATCCTTGCGAGAGCGGTGGTGCCCTGGGGAGCCAGGCTGAGCGGTCTCCGCTCCTGCCTGCTTTGTCTTTGGGGTTTTTTTTTGTTTGTGAGGTCTAAATGAATATTACTTTTTCATTCAAAACTTGATGAATGGAAGTTACCTCCTTATTTAATTTTCATTTGAAAAAACCCACAACGTTTTATCTGAGAGAAGAAATGGTCTTTTTTCTATAGAAAATTGAGGAACCGGCACTGACGGAGGCCAGAGATTGCGCTCGTTGCTAAAAACTAGATGCAATCACGTAACTAAAGATGATATGAAAATGCTAACGTACAAGGGGAGCAAAAGCAACCTTAATTACGCCATTTCCTAAACACTGAGTCTGAACTCAGCATCCCGAACGATGGTACAAAGACAGGAATAACTATTTCATCAACAAAGCTTCATGGAGAAGTGGCCTTCTCATGGTTCATTTCTCTCCTGTTTGTCCAACAACCCCAGAGGAAGTTTCCTAAAGTGGAAATCAAATAAAGGCAGCAAGCAGAAGGACGAGATTTATTCACACTTGCTGCATTACAGCGCGGTGCCACGGCGGCTCCTGCTCCCAACCAGCCTCTCCAGCGCGGGGCAGGGACCCACCTCGGGTGGCCAGACCATGGGAAACGCCCTCTACATCTAATATTAAAAAAACCACATTTTATGTGCAGATGCAAAAGCAGCCTCCTGGGAAACACTGAAGCCTCTTTACAGACTCCCAGGACATACAGAGAAGGAAAAAAAAACCCCAAACTTCAGCGAGGTAGGGGAGGTGGCAAATCTAAATGCAGCATAACTTATATTTAACCACGTTTTATGCAACGCCAGCAC